GGGGGGGGGGAGTGGACCGAGGGGCAGAGGCTCCACTACCTCTCGTCCCCCGCCCTCTTCCCCCAGAGTTCTCTTCAGAGTGAGAAGCCTGAGAGGCCTCTCATTATGGCCGCACGCATCTTCACAGGCAAGCTTGGAGAAGTGCATATTCGCCCGCAGGTCCCACGTTCCCGTCCCCCAGAGAAAGGCCCATACTTAAAGATGACCCGCGCAACACTGAGGTGCTTGGCGGGACGCCCGGTGGGGCCAGCCGGTCTAAAAGGAAACGGTCCAGGAGGGCAAAGTCTCACTCAGGGTGCGTATCCTTCGGCAGCTGACTCCCCTATCTACCACCTCGACGGGTAGAGAGAGGGGGCACACCAAGAGCGGCTCCCACTTCCCCCTTGTCTTTGGTCCAGATCCGTAGGAGAAGCGATATCCCAAAGAAGAAAGGGGAACCCCAGGCCCCTCATTCTCCTCCCCGGTTTGTAACCGTCAGGGCAGCATTTTTCAGTTTTCATAGCCCACTATGGAGAACTTGGCTATTTTTAGAGATATTGAAAAGCGGTCAACAGCGTTCGAAAGAGCACCGTTTATACCTCTTTTGTTTTCGTTTGTACCTCAAAAGGTTGGGAGATACAGCATTTCTCGAAAATGAATATGTATTTCTCAAACGAAAACATAAGTGGTGCAAACGGAATAGAATCGAACTATATGAAGCATTTTTAGTTTTTTTAAATTTGAACGCCAGCTTTACCGGCAACTCCGCCACCCGTCCGTCGTCAGATAACGAGAAGGAAGGGACGTTATCTTCCCCCCTCTTGCCAATGTTGACCCCTCCGAAAGAACCGGCGTGTTCCTTCTATGAAGACTCCTGCATGATGAGTGTTTTTACCCTTTTCTGTCGAGAGGAGGGTTCCCCCTTTGTTCGGCGGCTCCCCAATTTCTAGGTCGGTGATAACCAAGCTTGTTGAACCCGGCGCGGGGAATAGGGGCTTTAGAGGCGGCCCCCACTCGCCTGTCGCGAGAATCTTTCCTTGATTGAGAATTTGTGGCGCAACCCCTCCCACAGGGTGGAACCACTTAGCTTCCAGATTCCCACCGCCATTGGTCCGCGCTGGCTTATTCCTTCGAAGGATTATTTGCCGGAACCCGCCATATCTAGTAGGCGTTTCCCTATCCACCCGGGGACACGTCCGATTGCAACGGCCACTGCCAGACCCGCATCTTGTAATCTCCAACTCGCACGCAATGCGAGTCATGATCAGGAGTTTCAGAGTTCATATGATCAAAAGCCCTGAGAAGATCGGTTCTTCGGCAGTTACTGTTTCCTGAGATCTTTGCTTGTTCAAAGCCAGGACTTACAGTTACTCGTAGTACGCTGCAGAGGCCAGGTACTAACATCATTTCCAGAGTCAGAGACTACGTGGTTGATCACATCAGACTCCCAACCACCGGACAGCGCACCTTTCTGGTCCCACATATACGGTGACCTATTTTAATCAACGACAAACGGAGACAAACTCCGAAACTACGCAATCTACGAAAAAAATGTTCGGATAAAAGTTGTCGAGGACAGTGGGGGTAATCTACTTGTGCTAATGACATTGACCTTGAGGTCAGTTTTCAAGGTCATTTCAAGATCAAGGTCACTTTTTTAAATGGAACCCCCTATTATTAATGCCGAATTCAGAAAGAGTGGGAAATTTTACATCCAAATATGTATCAAAGTAGAAGGTTAACGTGACCTCCATAGGTCAAATGAAGGTCAAGAAACCAACCCTACCAAACTCCAAGCAGGTGCAGCAAACGTAAGAAAGATATTTCGTCACTTCAGATTTGATGAATTAATAGTTTTAAATGTTGCCCCGTACAATTTAATTACAAATTTTTTGAACGAATTAAACTCTTTAAAGCCACTTTCTCAGTATGGCAGGCTACCTTGCAAATAAAATTAGTGATATGATAGTAGTTTGCCATAACAACTACCTTGCTACATTTTTACTAAATGTTTTCCAGATGAAAGACATCCTAACAACTGAGCAGTTCGAAACCTACCTCAATAAGCTCGTGATAGAAATCTGGTTCGACAACGTCGACATCATGAATACAACGAAGATAATGCACGAGCTTGTGAGTCAGTCTACTTGTGGATTGGAATTCAATTTATTTTAAAGAAAAAAAAAACGATTAAACTCGCTGTTCCCAGAGTTAGGTGGTTTAGCCTGCTTGGGGTTTGGTAGGGGTGGTTTCTTGACCTTCATTTGACCTATGGAAGTCACGTTAACCTTATACTTTGATACACATCTGGATGTAAAATTTCCCGCTCTTTCTGAATCCGACATTAAAATAGGAGGTTCCATTTTTAAAAGTGACCTTGACCTTGAAATGACCTTGAAAACTGACCTCAAGGTCATTAGCACAAGTAGATGACCCCCACTGTCCTCGACAACTTTTATCCGAACATTTTTTTCGTAGATTGTGTAGTTTTGGAGATATCTCCGTTTGTCGATTAAAATGGGTTACCGTGTATGCAAAGAAGATCCTTCTTGCTGAAACGTTTAGATTTTGCTGTTGATATTGCCGATTGACTAGGATCCATTCATGATTTTTTGCGTTTAAGATTATCATAATCCATTTTTCATCGCCAGTTACAATTTTATATAAAAAATCCTTTTTCGTATTCTGACGAACGAAGAAATGCACGTAGTCAACCAACGATGTTTGTTGTCAGCAGTTAGTTTGTATGGAATCCACCTTCCTTTTTTGTGAATTTTTCCAGCTGGTGCAATCGAACCGAAAGCGTTTGTTGCGTCACTCCAATTTGTTCGGCAAGTTTTTTTGTGTTTGAGTCACGTTCTTATCGAGTTGCGTCTGTAGTTCATGATTTTCAAACTTGCGAGGCTGCCGAGCACGTGGTTAATCGTCAACACTGAAGTTACTGTCTCATAAACGACTGCACTTTCTTTGTAAGCGAAACAAATAATTTCAGCTGCCTCAGAAGCGTTTCTATTGAGTTTAAATGCAAAACGCACGTAGTATCGAATATACTCTTTATCATAGACCATGATGTTTACAACTAATTTTTAAGGTTATGTTGCTTAAATGTCATATTACGTGACATGTTTTAATCTTGAATATCAATATTTTAAAATAGCAAAAAGGGGCGATAATAATTTAAATTCAAATGATTTATATTTTTGTACAAAATTAGGCGGTACGAATTAATTAATACACCTAATGTATAGTTATTTGCAACTAACATTCTATTATATATAAAATTGACGTGTTCAAGACATTAATACGTGCGAGTTAAAAATCTTCACACCAAAATTTCATAATTGTAACAATTCAAATTAAGAAGATGCACCAATAACATTGTAAGTATACAATCAAACTAAAGAAAAAAAAAATATATGCAATTAGAAATCAATCACAGATTATATCCACTTAAATCGAACATCTTAAATGTTTCACTTGTTTTTGATGATACGAAAAATTGTCTAAGGAAAAATGTTGCACCGAAAGGATAATTATTATAACAAAAAAGGTTTTCTTCAAGGTCATTTTTTTCAGAAATTTGAATGTAAAAATAACTTTTTAAAATAGAATAAGTAACAATTCAATATAAATTGTTTTTTCGTGATATACAGTCATGGAAATATGAAAATCGGCTAATAAGATCCGATGTAGTTGTAGTTAAATTGTGCGAATAAATTATTTTATATGCGAAAATTGTTAGTAATGGGATACAGTGTCGGTTTGACACGCAAAAAAGATTCTCCGTGTACGTTTGAAAAGTGAGTACGTTTGAAAATTATGTAATAGTTCTGATGAACTATTATATAAATCGAAAAATTCCGTCCGTTTTTTTTGCAAAAAGTATGGTTTTATTTTATTTATTTAAAAAACAAAATGAAAAAGTACATCAATCGAAATATTGTCCACCTTTCGGGC